AAAGTTGAAACATTAGGCTTGTGTTGCGAACTCTTCGATATCTCGCCGTAACTAAACGGGCAGAATGTTTTAACTTGGAGTTGAACAAAAGACCGCCAGTTTACGAAAATATTCAGACTTTGAAGATAAAACTTTTTTATTGCATTAAAAGTAGAACGTAATCCGAGATAAGGCCGAGTGTTTTGCGCCCCGAGTACGAACGAGACAAATTAAAAAAAAATTAACCACACAACTCTATTTGAGTTTAAAAAGCAACTTGATTATGAATAAATGGATTTCTTGGTAGAAAAGCTGACGAGGTCGACTTACCGCCCGAGATGGAAATTTATACGCGAACAATAAAAACCGCGTCGAGGGAACCAAAGTAACACTAGGACTGGACACAAAACGAATAAAATTCCAAACTGTCTCATCAATCATGTCACACTTCGACTTCTTGGAGACTTTTCGAAAGTTGCCAAAGCAGGGAAAACTCTTGTTAACCACTGACAGCTCAAATGTACTAACCTACCCCGATGCGTTTTTCTTCACTACTTGTTTATCGAGGTCCAACTGACCCCACATACGTATTACAACAAAATACACTGTTTATGTGAGATTTCATGGTAATGCATGAACGGCTTACCTTATCTTACGTAAATAACGCCATTTTTCCTCTTTTCTCACCGTTTGTTCAAGCAAAATCAATAAGTTACATACACACGCACCCAACAAACGCGATTTTTGCACTCTAGATTATTACCAGCCGTGCGTTTACAAACAAAATGATTCAGGGCCCTGCGCTACCCTTGGCTTAAGACTGTTGCTACGCTAAAATCGGCACCTCCACACGAATAACTGCTGTTTTATTATACATCGTTTCTTGAGTTTTTAATGATTTTGAACAACTTTAGAAAAATCTTTTTCCCTTATGGAAATCCTATTTCATCCTTTGTCTTTCAGGATTAAGAAATTGTTGTTGCAAAATATCATTCAATTTTCTACATAGTCGTTACAAGACACCGTTTTGTCACTGACTCTTACAGAATTTCATATTTGGTTCATTGTAGCAGCAGCCTTAAGTAAGCTTAAAGTGGTATCCCATTAGCCTCAAAATGATTCCGCGTTGTAGCATACAGTGCAAGCTGCCAACAAAGTATGAACAAACAATATTGTTAAGGAAAATATATTCCTCGGTACAAAGTAATATACTGTAACGATTAAAAAGTAATCAAATTATTTGCAACAGTAACACTTTCTGTAGTTCCTGAAAAATACAAAAGGATTAAACAAATCAGATCAACGGATAATAAAAGACCAAGCGAAGCATTAAATGTTAACTGTTTGTTCGCAGACGTGAGGTGCAAGTTCTGTTGTTTTATTAACCGCAGTGGTAAACTCTTACCGAGGCTAAATCCAAGTCAAACCGTTTTTGATCGCATGGTATTAGTCACAGCCACTCTAATGTTATTAATTTTAATTATGTACAAAATCCCATTTTCATCATCTAATAATATGACAGCGCCAAATCGCTCTGATTCGAGACAGTCTCGCGCCAACACTAAATTATTCCATCCTCCCTTCAAACTTTAAGTCTTGGGGAATTATTCCCTTTATTCCGGTTAAAATGCCACAGTATGAGAGGATCAAAGGGGGCAAACGTTACGAATCCACTTAAGCATGACCGAACTCTATACAATTGTGGTATAATAAGATCGATCTGTAAGTGGAAAATATCAGTATTACAAATTCACAAGTCGGAATCCCACTGCGTTAATAATACAGGGTAGTATGCAATAAGGGTCACGTGACTTCTTTTCTTCGAACGCTGTGGAGGAACAAGGAGTGAGGTTGGCATCGATTATACCCGAGACACGTCTGCCTACCTACTGATTAATTCACAAACAACGTAAATATATACTTAGGTCAAATTTATGCCTTGGCGAGTTGGGTCAAATCGAAAGGTCGCAGAATTCATTAAAAAGTACTGTGGTTCACTAATTAAAAAAAGTTGGAAAAAGTTGGTTGATGGAATGGATCTGAGAGGGTTGAACAGTCCGTCTTTATCGTTAGGAGCATGTATAGCTGGCCCCTTCCAGTATTTTAATTTAGGAAAAAACGAAACTCCACAGCAATTAACGCGAACTTTCCGGTATATACAGCAGATGATTTTTTTATTACATTATATTATATTTATTTCAATATTACCGAGGGTTTATTATTCGCCGCCTCAGCTGATGAATTAAATACATTATGATTTCAAATACAAACAAATTCTAATCAATTATCGCGTTTCCAGGTAAAATGAATTATTTCTCAAGAAATAAAGGCAGCAACTCCTAACTCGTTATTACTTACTTACTAACTAGAATGGAACGTTACATAATAAACATATTTCGCACGGGTTGGAAATTGTCGAGATTTGTCGAGAGCGAAACACTTTTACGACAGTTTTTGTACACTACTATGATGCTCATTCCATAGCATTCAATATTATAGTCATAAACTATTTAGTTATCAAGCAAAGTAGTATCGTCTGAATTACCCATATCTTGACTAATAAAGCCATTAAATTTAAATTCCCTCAAATTTTAATAACACGCACATGCGTGTCCAAAAGGTATGTCTGTAAACGCTCCCCAATGTTTTTTTAACTTCACGTTTTAGCCATTTCGTGCGTCAAGGTCACGTCCTTAAATGTAAACATATTTTCTCCTATGTGCAAAAATTCATTTACATGCAATGTGCAAGGACCTTCGAGATTCTAAAGTTTTAAATTCTAAAACCACGTGGAACGTACAATGGTGTTATGTTTACACACAGTGTGTTCATTCGGAGTAGGAAATAGTGTATTGTGAAACGGCACTAACATATTTCGCACGAGTATGAAAATTGGGTCGAAGGCAAATGCCACAATTACACAAGTGAACAACGTTACCGATATTGTGCTTGTGCGTCTCGACTACAAAATGTTGAATACTTAACCCACGAGTCGCAAGTTGCATCCACAATAAACTTTTAAATGGGAAAGTTATGTTTTAAATTCATTATTTTAATGCTCTTGCTGTATATAAATGTTTAGAATCTTCTTCCATATGCTCCCAAATAAGCCCCAAGATGTTCCTAAAGTGAGAGAAATCGTAAAAGTCGCTTTGGAACGTAAATGGAGAACATTTCAAAATAATGGAGCTATATTTTCTGGAAATTTTATGTGTTACCTTTTCTGCGATTATCACCTAAATGAAGTGAAACTTGGCGAATTTAACTGGAAGCAACATCAAAAGCATCCTCTCAAAGCACCGCCGTGTCGTGTAAAAATTCAGACTTGATGTACCTATGACGTCATCAGTTAGCACAAACTCTCATTGGCAGCATTTTACCTGGAGTTCATTTCAGTTTAGCGATAGTCGTTCGTTCAAAAGTCAACGAAAGAAAGGAAGGAGTATGTACAGATAGTGTGATTTATCTTTTCTGGCTTAAACACAATGTTGGCATCTTCTCGACCAGAAAACAATTAAATTAATATCACAAGTTGCTTAAAAGGCGTGTACAAATTTACAATAGCAATAATTTTGATCGATTATATTGAAAATATGTCAAAAATATATTGAGTAAAAGCGACTTGTTCACATGTGTCGAATTGGAGATGAGCCATGTGTTCCATGTGGTGAACATCTCCTCTGCTCAATATGTTGCTGATAATAATATAATTTTTATTAATTTCGTAAATCACCATCATTTCATTGGGGCCTAATTTATCTTCCGGGTTGCTGGGAAAACTTGGCAGGCTCGATCCTGAAGTGTAAACAACTTTATTGCCAAGTTTTCTAAGAACTTTTCGTTTCGTTACTGAATGGATGTTGTTAAGATCAAAATTGGTCTTACCACCTTTTATGAAAGTACAATATTCAAAGATCAATTTCTTAATTATGTAAATTTATTATTCATGTTCCAAAATTTTCCTCGAACGAATCGCATGAGAAAGAAATAATGAGCTGCGCATTGCTGTTCTTTAAATGCCCGTTGAATTGAAAACGGCCTGTTCACACGGACATCTATTACGTTCCTTCAATGAGTTATTCTGTAATTTTTTTGCCTCAAAAAAAATTAAAGTTTGTGAAACTGTAACCCTCATGGAGTAAGCAAACTTGATCTTGCTCTTCACTCAAGTAGAAGGGAAAGGTGTAAATGTCAGTCAATGTTCGGGTAGTTTTTTTTACAATAGTTCGAAAATATTGAACTTATTAGACAGAGTATCTCAAAAAATAATATCTCGAGAGATTTATTTTACAATAAAACATTTGTTTTCACCAAGACTTTGGTGAAATTCTCCCAAAAAAATTAATAAACAACCTTTTTAAGAATTCGTCTTGAAATATAAATATGTCTGTATAAATTCTAAAACAATTCGGACAAATATGAAAATATTCAATTTGTTTTCAATAAACTTGATGAATTTTAAAGTTTAAACAATTTCAGAAATGATGGTATCCAACCGTTGAGCAAAAAATTCCGAAAATCATTTTTAACAAAGCGTACAATCGGATTAAGCTGTCATTAAACCCCGGTGAACTATAAAACGTTGCGTTCAACTTTAAAATGTTTTTGCTGAAATTGCAAACTGGCCATATTCTAACAGCAGGTAATGAAGCGATGGTCAAAGTGTTATTCGTCTCTACATTAGACGTTATTCGACCAAATGCGATTTGATTACCCAATTTCTCTTTACTAGCACCACATAAACGTCCTTTGAGATCCATAAAACACGTTTTTTTTATTGTGCAAACTTTGTTAATTTATCGGATGCTGCACTTGATGAGCAAAAAGTATGGATCAAAGGTAAAACGCTCCCGGTTATTCCAATAAAAGAAATTTTTGTTCAAACGAAAATAAATCACAGCTGAAGGAAAGCTCGTTTGGAGGTTAAAAAAACAAAATTATATGGCAGTAACGACAGGGAAAACTTTGTAAAAAAATTTCAAATGCAGCCATTACTTACTACAAACTGGTAAACTGCTCACCTGTGTCTGCGGTGAGGAAACTTCGTACTATCTGAAACAAAAGCAAAAAGTACGTGTTATACAACTCTCACGTATCTCGTACAATGAAGGGTGAAATTACATAAATTTCGTGACCGCGAGCAGAATATTCATATTTTTTTCTGTACCTAACCTACGGATGTTTCGGTTATTTTTCACAAGTTTACATTGTTTTAGCGGCGGTGACCGTTTTTGTTCGAGTTGATTAAAACCGTGTAAAACCTGCAAGAGACAGGGAGATTTATCTGCGAATGCCGGCAGCTGTGTGGGCGTCACTATTTCCACTCGTGCTACACACAGACACCTTTTCCCTACGTTCCAACACTTTTTCTTTTAAAAGACCGTTTCCTAGGTCGCCACGATTCGCATTGATTATTATGAACGAAAAAGATCCGCACAAATTAGCGCCCTTTGTTTTTCGACTCGGTTCTTCTCAGAAACTTCCCTCCAACTAATTCCGATTTCGATGCTTTATACGTTGAGTTGCACAGTTGGCGTTAACCTCACTTTATTTTCGGCTTTTATCTCGATTCTTTTTATTTGGGGGGAGTTTTTACTCGGCGGTTCGACAACAGGAAAGGCGCGTGTGAACGAAAAAGAGTCACAAGAAACGCCACCCCGGAGTATTTAGTTCAGACCAGCAGTATTTGGGAGAAGAACACAATTTATTGCCCTAACAACTAGTAAATTCAGCTCCCTTTGAACGATCCAAAATGCCAAATGAATAATTAAATTCATTTTCAAAAATTAGTGTAGAGTTATTTGGACCGAACTTCCCTCACCCCTGAAACAGTCCAACAAATCCTTTTTTGAGAATTATAAGATTTTATTTTAGGAACTACGACTTTGTAGGCGGATTTATAAACCACAAGTATAGAAGTACATTATTTTATAAAATTTAAGTAGCATGAACCATACATAGTTTTAAGGTGACGTTCAAAATGTTGCTGAGGTGATCAAACAAATTGTAGTGCAAATATCTACACGGTATTCCTAAAATACTCATCAAATTCGGCAACAATCAGTCCAGTAGTTTTGCAGGTTATCCGCCTAATAAAAATATCAAGACAGATAACATACGATAGACAGACATGCGGAAATCTGAGACTTATTTTTCATACACTTTGTGTCACGAAAGGTCGGAAAAACACGAAAGTAGTCGTTCAACGGATCGGTCCATCACACTACTTCAGAGCTTCGAGGAAAGGAAACGCTCCAGAAAAAGAAGGTACTTTAAATATTCTTCTTCTTCTCTTCATAAACTAAGGGTCAACTAAGGGTCTTGTACCTCTCGATGCCGAGTTATATCGGAGTTTTCCGACAAATTCTTCTACATTTTCTCCCATTTCTATCGTTCGCCAAAGCTTTCGCTCGTTTCATCTTGTTCCTCTTTTCTTTGTTCTCATCCGTGTTTCTTCCATCCACGCTCTTCTTGGTCTACCTCTCCCGCTTCCAATTGGGAAGAAAAGGAAATTTCCTCCGCTTCAAATATTTGTGTAACAAATTTTTTATCGCCTCTTTTTATTACACGGCCGAAACATCCAAGTTGGGCTTGCGGTATGATTACCTCCACCGTTAACTTTTCTCTGAATGTATGGTTTCTGATTTTCTTATTGCTTTACCTTTCTGAAAGAATTTTTCATACAACGGCAATTCAAAGACAGAGAATTTCCTTCAACATGGATCCGGTAAAGCTTGAAGGAAAAGTTAGGGGCGGTGAATTCGAAAAAGTTTATAAGGATTCTATTCCAAAAGACCCAGAAAAATTTCAAAGGCGGGACTGAAATTAGAATTTCAAGAAAGGATTGTGTGAGTAAACGTTACTCTGGTGGAATGAGGTAGTGCGTAACCTAGCATATCAAAGTAATGTTGCACACAACTTTCCATAAAATTTTGGAACGCTTTGGACTTTAAAGTTACATTCTAAAAGAATTCCATTTGAGGAGAACAGCGAGCAAAATATTTGAAGCTGAATTTAGTTCTATTCGAAAGGAAATTTACTGAAGGAACTTTAAATAGGACACTACATCACCTTTGTGGTTTGAATCGTCATTGGTTCGCATTTCCATTCCCACATCGGATCGAAAATCGGTTTATTCACGATTTCAGTTTATAGGTGCCAACATATCCGTATCTAAGTCTTGAACCTCTGTAATGAGTTTTTTATCAGTGTTCCTCTTATCTATTGTTATCACAATTTTGCTTTTTTGGTATTATTTAAAGTCTCCTCTAGGTATTTTCTACCCTGAATCTGTTTGGTTCTTCAATGAGCTGTATTTAATGTTCTTTCCTATACATAACTTTTCAGTAAAGTTTACCTACTGTATATAAATAAGCTCACCTACAAAAGAAGTTAAACACCGGAGCAGCGACGGAGAAAATAATTTAACGCTGAAATATGTTAGGAGCGTCTCCAAAATTATTACGTCCACCAAATCATTTTAAAAGAACAACAACAACATAAGATGAGGTGACATAAACTCTCTCGAAGCACCCTCAAGAAGCCTGTCGGAAGGCGACAAAGTTCAACCTTTTTATTGTGGCGTTTCGAAACGTCAATCGCTATTTAAATTTTTCAGACTTCTATTGTAGTGGATTTTGTGGTATGTTTTTGTGAAACAGGAAAGACTGACCGAAGGAACTCCAAACATCTTGGCTGCGTAATGGCTTTAACTTCAAAAGAAGTCCATGAAAAATGTATGAGGAGACTAAGCAGAGGCATTACAATGTTTATTAAGACATAATTTTATTTCATCTTTTAAAGAAAATTCACGGGGTAGTCGTAACACGCTGTATCATATAATTACTGCAGGGAATTACTCCACACCAAGACGTCCATGCTTTTTATAAAATCGTAGTCAAATCAATGTGGAAAATAATAATAAACTAAAAAATTAATTCAAAAAAACATATTTAAAAAAATATGATACAACCCTTAATAAACCTAAGAGTATAAATAATAAAAAAAATCTGGGAGAAGTAGAAACACTTTTGTTAAGCCTACAGCAATAAAAGAAAGGGAAAATTTTTATAACAAGTTTTATACACCTCTCCAACGCCATCTTTAGGGAATTATGTAGATGCTTTACATCCTTATCTTGGGAACTCCATAACTTTAGGCGAAATTAGAACAGCGCTAATAAAATGTAAAGATAACAGGACTATTGGCGTGGATAAGATTTCGTACGAATTTTATAAATTCTAGCCAAAGAGACGGGTTCCATTTATTAACTGGATTTTTATTTATACATTAGGCCACGACATTAAATAATAATCATTCAAACCATATACAAGAATTGATTGCAATATTTAATTACCTCTTGTTATTTTGACGAACGTCAGTTTGGAATTTTTTTAGGTCAGTCTATTAAACAGAACAGTGAACTGAATAATTTCCATAATTCAAGAATGTCAGTCAGAATTCAGGGAAAATTGACGTTGCACGGTAATTTAAATAAATACGAGATTAAAGTCTAGTTTATGTTATATTTATCGACTTTAGGAAGTGTTGAACCTATTAATCATTCTATTCTTTGTGAAAAGCCATTGAATGTAGGTTTCTGCGGAAAAATATTTGGAATTTTGGTTATCGATACAGTCTTTGTTCGATACAAGTGGAAAAAAGTGTAGATACAATAGCTGTTTGTGTATCAAGACCACAAAGAAAAATTTTTTCGGCGATCTGAAGTTTGAGATGGAGGCGTAGGCGAGTCATACAAAAAACACGAGGCCGAAAAGTTCTCTTTGGCCGAGGTATACACAACGTTTTTTAGGCGACCATACAGAAAAATATTGGTTATCTAAGTGGTTTTGAGGTGGGAAAAGTGTTTTCGTTGCTGGAGATTTGATAAAAAAAGTGCTACTTTGCTCCTCTACTAAGATAAAAATTGGTTACCGTCACGTTTCATAACGATATTCGGTAAAGGTAGAGTTCAAAGAACGGCTTTTGGCTTTTTTCGACATCTGAGTATAAAAAGGTGACACTTCATGAACGTGATTGGGGACGTAAAGCAACTAGATTTGTAATGGTCGCCTAAAATAGTATATTATTAGCCAAGGTTGCAGAGCCAAGCATTCTAGACCGAGCGCAAATTAGAACCCGAGACGCGCAGCGTCGAGGGCTCTAAGTGCGAGGTCTAGAAGTGGCTTTGCAACCGTGGTTAATATACTATTTTTTTCACTAGTAGAAACCATAAGACAATAAACTGAAAAATAAACGTTCAATTTTTTGACGCAACATGATTTTGTTTTGATTTCTAATCAAACTTGATCTAAATCTTCAACACAAAGAAAACCGTTTATACTTGTCGCCGAGTTAATCATTTTATCTTCTACCGTCTACCAACTACCATGCGTATACTCAAGTAATGTTTGTAGCACACATTTGTTCATTTTTTAAGAAATAATCAAATCAAACACTGCGTACATAACCTCAATTTTTCTTTTTGAACCCGTGGTAGCAAAAGTTGAATTTGCTACCACTAAATGAGTCGACATTTGCATGCGTCCAGGCTGCTAGTGAAAAAAATAATTTATAATGACCTCTGGGGTTTTACAAGGAGATTACCAGGTCTTCGTTTATTTTCGTTATTTGTTAGTGACTTTAAAAAAATAGCTTTAGTGGCTTGAATACTGACAAACATCAATATTTTTACACATTTTTAATGTTGACCTGGAGCTGTTAACCCAGTTCTTTATTGAAACATGAAAAAGTGCACGGCTACACAGCAGGTTGATAAAACTTTACTTTTAATAGTGACTCATTTCAGCATTATTTAGTAATTAAGTCTAGATCCTAAATGGAGACCTCAATACCTTGAATATGTGGGATTGTTAATTTTTTTTTTAACTTTATAGATTTACACCCAGTGATCTTTCCTTTTTCAAAAGTATCTTGCTTTACAATAAAAAAAAAATGGATAGAACTATTAATATTAGTCAATTATTTTCAATAATGCTGTCCACTAAAAAATATTATCTTCTCAATGGTCTGAGACGATTTAAGTAATTTAA